AATTACGTTTTTTGCCGTTGAAAGTAATGGCAAACACTGGCTAGGTGCAGTGGCTCACACTTGTAATCCCTGCACTTTGGGAGACTGAGGCAGGTGGATCACCTGAAGTCAGGAGTTCAAGACCAGCTTGGCCAACATGATGAAACTACGTCTCTACTAAAAATACAAAAAATTAGCCAGGCATGGTGGCAGGCACCTGTAATCCCAGCTTCTCAGGAGGCTGAGACAGGAGAATCGCTTAAACCCGGGAGGCAGAGGTTACAGTGAGCTGAGATCGCGCCACTGTGCTCCAGCCTGAGCAACAAGAATGAAACTCCATCTCAAAAAAAAAAGAAAAAGAAAAAACCTCGATTACTTTTGCACTCATCTAATTTAAGAAGCAGAAATTTTGCTGGGCTTAGTGGCTTACACTTGTAATCTCAGCACTTTGGGAGGCTGAGGTGAGAGAATCACTTGAGGCCAGGGGTTTGAGACCGGCCTGGGCAACACAGCAAGACCTCATCTATACAAAAATTTAAAATATTAACCATGTGTGGTGGCGTGTGCCTGTAATCCCAGCCATTCGGGAGGCTGAGGTGGGAGGACTGCTTGGGCCCAGGAGGTGGAGGCTGCAGTGAGTCATGATTGCATTACTGTGCTCCAGCCAAAAAATTAACTAGAATGGGAAGTTTCAGCATCTTCTGGTCCATGGCTCTCATTCGCCCACCTCAGATGCCCCCTCCACCCACTCTCATGGACGATCCCCATTTGCATACAAGAAACTGCGGCTGTGAAGGGTTCGCAGACTGGGCAAGAACTCACAGATTCCCCATCTCTGCTTCTTGGTGTCTTGAAGGGAATTCTACGACCCCGGCTTCCAGGGGCGGCAGTCCTCCAAGGACCTGCACGTGTTTTACTCCTACCAGCAGCTGGGCTGTCCTCTCCTTGTCTACTATGATACCCCATGGAAGCCCGTGGTGGAGCTGTAAGACCCCAGGGGGGTGCTGCAGGGTGGTGACGGTGGCAGGGCCTCATGCTCCCTGGCCCTGGGGTATCAGCCTGGCCCTTGGGTACCAGCCTGGCCCTCCAGGCTCCCCTCTATCCCTCAAAATGATTGATGATGGTCACTGTTTTCCACCGTTCTCCTGCCCCAACCCCACTGGCCCCCAGGGCCCTGTCCTTGGAACACCTTTTCTTTTTTTGAGACAGGGTCTTGCTGTGTTGCCTAGGCTGGAGTGCAGTGGCCTGATCTCAGCTCACTGCAGCCTCTGTCCCCTGGGCTCAAGCGATCCTCCCACCTCAGCCTCCCGGGTAGCTGGGACCACAGGTGGCCACCACCACACCCAGCTAATTAGCAGAGATGGAGTTTCACCATCACCATGTTGATCAGGCTGGTCTTGAACTCCTGACCTCAGATGATCTGCCCGCCTTGGCCTCCCAAAGTGTTGGGATTACAGGCGTGAGCCACTGCGCCCGGCCGATGGTCTTTTCTTTATGCCTATGCACTCCTGCTGTCTTCCTGTTCTTTTTTTTTTTTTTTT